ATTTGTTCTTCTGGATGTGCTTTCCATATGTATGTGAATGTGTATATATATGTATGCATATATCTTTAATGAGTTATAATTTTCTTGTACTATCTTCTTTTATATTTGGATAGAGGTGGGAACAAGATCCTGAAACTTTCCTGATCATTATAAAGGGAGCTGGAGGAAAGGCTTTCTGTGCTGGGGGTGATGTCAGAGGTAAAAACTTTTTCTGCCCTCACCTAAATACTTTTTTCCCCCAGTAGAACCGATAAAGTATTGCCAGATTTTTGTAGTAATTTATAATCGGTTTTACTTTTTAGAATTTTTTGTCATAAAGGCAATACATTCTTATAAAAAGGTCACATGCTTAACTTAGAAAAAATAAAAATTTAAAGACTTTATAGTTAATATTAGAAAATGAGAATAGTGATTTTTTTTTTCATTACATATGTGCACTTTTGAAATTTATATATTTTGTGTCTCTCTGAATCATCACAAACAAAATATCCAGTTATGGTATGTATTTTAGAATAGCTGATGTTTAGCAGTTCTGTTCATCACATAACCTGACAATCTGGCCATGTTGAGTGACTTGCCATTCCCCAAATATGGACATGCTCTCACATGTTTCATAACTTTTCCTACTATTCCTGATTTGCAGGCAACATAACTTTTCCTTATTTTTCCTAATTGTTCAGGTCTTCACAAGCTGTCCACATTTAACTATTAAAGACAAAAGAGAGAAGAAATGCTTGTTCTCAGGATCAAAGTCATATACTTCTTATTATCACCACTAGTTGTCCATATTATATGTATAGTGTACCGAGAACTGTTTTTACATTATTTCATTCCATATGGAATTGGTAGGGTCCAGGGATGTTTTTTTCCCTTTTATTTTCCATATGTATTTTTTGTATTAAGACAACCGTCTTTGGTTTGTTCACGTAAACCATTACTTTAGGAATAGGAAACAAGCTGATTCAAGACATAATTTCAAATACCTATTAAATTTAAAGTAACTAAATCTTGAAATTGCAGTTTAATGGAAACTTTGATTGCTAAAACTGATGTTAACTGAATTGTTTTTGAATTTGTTGTTTTGCCTGCAATGTAAATATTTTAAAACATTGTTCTTTGGCCAGGAATTAGCCTTTCCACTAGAGTCAGGCCTATGATCTTGTCAGTTTACAGATGGGCAGAGCTTTATGTATTGAGTTTAGTTTCTTGTGACTGTGAGCTATTTCTGCATTTAGGCCTAACTTTATATTGATGTTTGGGCATATAGTTACAAATTCTAGAATTATTCTAGTTTACATGTATAAAGCAAAGGGTTTCAATTCCAGGACTTTTTTTGTTTAAACCATTATAGTCCAAAACAATGAATGCACATTTAGAAAATTAAAAAAGACTGTGAAGATCATTTAATTTTAATTTGTATGGAATTAATTGATAGAATAAAAATTAGAATAAGATTAGAAGGAAACCTGAGATTTTTGAAGTAAAAGAGCTTAATTACAAAGGTAATA